GTGTGTGTGTGTGTGTGTGTGTGTGTGTGAGAGAGAGAGAGAGAGAGATATGTCAGAGGATTGGAGAAGGTCAAGGATTGTTTCTATGTTCAAAAAGTGTGTGGGGGGGGACCCAGTTAACCTGACATTGATAGTAGGCAAAATTTTGGAACCAATTACTATGCAGTCAGACTGTAAACATTTAGAAAAAAATGCACTGCTTAATGGGAGCCAACATGGATTTATCAAGAACAGATAGTACTAAATCAATTTGATTTTTCACAGAGTGACCAGTTTAGTTGATCACAGGAATGCAGTGGACATGGTATACCTTTACTTCAGCAAAACATTTGATAACGTGTCCCATGAGATCCTAGTAGAGAAGATGACAAAATGTGTGTTGACCTATACTATCATTAGATAGATACAAAGCTGGTTGAATAATCATAACCTATGAGTGCAGGCTAAAAATGGAATGTGCCAAGGGGCATAATACAGGGCTTTGCACTGTTCACTGTATTTATAAATCATCTGGATCAAGGTTTACAAAATATGATTATCAAATTTGCAAACAACACAAGATAAGGAGAGTAGCAAACATCTTAAGAATGTCAGCCTTTTGAGATGAATTTCAGTATAGTCCTTCATTTGGACTGAAGAAAGAATATTGCATCCATTCTATAGAATACTACATCCAATTCAGTGCATCACATTTTAAGAAGCAAATTGATAACATGAAGTATATCCATTGGAGAGCAAACAAGATGATAAAGGACCTGGGAGGAAAAACTAACAAGCAAAGCTAAAGGCACTAGAGAATAGAAGTATTTGTAGGGCCATCATGTATAAAACAGGGTAGATTTGTGTGGTAGCGTTCAGGAAGACAAGCAACAGTGGGTTTAAAATACAAGGAAGCAGATTTCAGGTGGACATTAGGAATATTTTCCTGAAGATAAGTGCTATTGAGTAATGGAGCAGGCTGTCATAGGAGATAGCAGACCCTTCTTTGCTCTATGCTTAAACCAAGTCTGGATGGCCATCTGCCAGGGATGCTATAATACTAGATTTCTGCACTGGAATAGATGATCTCTAGGATCATTCCTAAATTATCTCTTATGATTCTCTGATTAAAATGTCTACTTTTAAAACACTTATTTCAACAAAAACATAGAAGAACATCTTTTCTATGACTCTTCTAAAGGTACATGATGTGCATAGCGCTACAGTTAAACATTTTTATGAACATTTATAGATATAAAAATTTATTTTAAAAAGATTAAGATTTGAATCTATTTATCCTTTTTCTTGGTGAAATATTTAAAAATACATTTATTCCACAATTTGTACAAATTGGAATTAAAAACATGCTTGTTATCAGAAATTGAAACAGCAGTTAAACAATTTAAGTCCATAAAATATGAGGAATCATGCACAGGATTGCAACTTTCATCTGCAAAACTATTTTCAGAATTTAAGTTTTCAAAAGTAAAAATTGGTTCTGACAGTAACTATTTTCTCATTAATAAGAAAAGGTTATTCATATTATATAAATCTGAGAAGGGACTTGTGTTAAGTTTCTGGAAGTTTTAGCTAACATTAAATACAATTACTTCTGATAGGAATTTAACATAAAGTCCATAATTTTTGTTAAATTGCAGCTGGTTTCCCACTTATTCAATTTAAAACCTCTTTTGAATGCTTTTACAGCCTAAAATCTACACACATCAAAGAACAAATCTTCCAATATTCTAGGCTCTAAACCAGCTTTTTCTCAACTAGGGTTCTGCAAGAGGTTGCTAGGGGTTCCATGAGAAATTGTGATTAAAAAAATAAGCAAACATCATTTTTTGAATGTTATGCACTGTGCAATGCTAGCATGCACACTAGTGGATTTTTACACACCAGGACTCAGTTGTCACCTTGCTGCTTGGCGGTTTGTTGTAAAACATGGATTATGTAGGCTAGAAGTGAACTTCACTGTAAAGTTTTTATATTATTTGTGGTTTTTATGGAGGGGTCCCTGAGACCTGAACATTATTTCAAGAGTTCTTCCAGAGTAAAAAGGCGAGAAAGGCTGCTTTAGGCTGTGGCTTGTTTGTTTTTTTAATGTGATACTGTATGTGAATTCAGCCACTGTGGTTGGTAACAATGACTCCTTCTTGGGGGCTTTCACAGTGAGGCTAAACCAACCAAAAGATTAAACCACATTACAGCTTAATGTTATGTGCCAGTTATGTGGTCTCTTGTATTTGCCCATGAGGAAGATTCACCTCAAGAGGTTCATTTGGCAAACACTGGCAAGCCAGCTTTCTCAGTTGTAATACTAAAACATCAAACTCCCCCTCTGAAGAAATATGTTTACTTGGTTATGACTTTTTTGAAAAGCCTAAAGAAGATATTTTTTAATTTCTGAAAGTACTTTGCGTTGATTTTTTCAATGCTCTTGTGCAATTTTTAAAGGCCTTTAATATTTTTTAATAACTGGCTTATTTTTAAAATAATCTTAGACCTAGAACTTTTAGACCTAGTGTGAAAAAAACATTTTATTTCTTAAAAACATAAGTCATGACAATAATGTACAACTGAGCCCAAATTTGCAAACACAGAGTTACTAAGCCTGTTATCTTATACATATCTACATATAAAATATTGTAAACCCAGCTGACTTTTAATGGGACATTTTTCTCAGATACCTACAGCTTATAAAGATACCCATTCCCTAATTTCAGCATATCCACCAATCAGAAATGATATCCTGTAACAAGCAGATGACTACAGCTGTGCTACTGCAAATGAGAAAAAGTGTCTTGTCATCTCTGCTGATACATGATTTCTTGCCTAATCCGTTTCAGTAATATACAGGTTTATATCATTTCTAATACCATGAATTATTGCACTTTGAGATCCAATGCTCATGAATTCAATTAAGCAAGAGAAGCTAAAATAAAGGTATACAGCAGCAAATAGGGCAAACAAATCCAGAAAGTTCAACCTCAGTACCTTTTAGAAATCTTATGTCATTAGATTTTGGAATAAATATCTGTTTCTGAGGCCTAGCAAAACAATAGCTCTATGTTGTTAAACCAAAAGAGCAACCAATTATATAAAACCCTTTACCAACTTCTATTCCTACCTATCAAAACTGGTCTTTGAATTCATGTTAACACAATTAGCCTTCGCTCCTAATTCCAGATGCATATTTATATTTTAAAGACCATCTCCTGCCTTATAAACCTGCACTTATTGAAAGAATCTCTAGAGATCCACCAAAGAGGGTTTAGTTGTTGGGAATGCAAAATAAATTCCTTTCTATGAAACCATCATTCAGGGAAATGAGGGAATTCCTTCTCTATTAGCATTAAAAATTCTCACTTTACTGAGCTGTAAAGATTTTTTTTTCAACTGAAAGTTTAAACTCTTGCTTCTTTTGATATTAAATCACTTCATTTTAGCTTCTGGATATTTTTTTTTCCTTTTAAAGGCAACCTGGTTTAAAAAGCGTCCATAGTTCTATTTCTGGCACTGTGACTGCTTGAATATAGACTGCTAGAGGTGGGCCTGTGGACTTTTCAGAAGCCGATTGTCTTTAAAACAATAATAAACTAAATTAGGATCCACCCTTAAATTTAACCTTGGGCAAATCATTCACTCTCCGCTTCACCTCTGCCCTGGGGAAGAGGAAGAGGATCTGGTCTACCCAGCCAGAGAGTATTTCGTAAATCATTAGAGTCTCTAAAGACAAACAAACTTGCTCCCTCCAGGTATCGGCGCAGTTCAAGGGGCCGAGCCTCTTACTCCACTTCCTCTCCCGCACAGGTGGCTTCAACCTAGATCCAGAGGATGATCGACGTCCTTGTCGGGAGAACAGTCCCGGGACGGGACGGGACGAGGAGGAGAGCCTCCCTCCTGCCCCCATCCTCGCCGGAGGGAAATGCGTGGGCAGCGTTTGGCTACGCGGACGCAGCTGATCCCCAGGGAGGACCGACCTATGACCGTGCCTGGAGGTCGGGCCGGGAGCTTTTAGGGCGGCTGCTCTTCCCCTGCCGAGCAGAAAAATACCGTCCACTCCCGCTCGACTCACCCACATCCTGCTCGAAGGGGTTGGGGGCGAAGAGCGGCATGACAAGGTTGGCGGCGGAACGAACGTTAACGACGACACCCCGAGGCGGTCAGCCCGGCGCGGTCCGGTTCGGCAGCCGCCCCAGCGGAGGACGCGACTCGCTTCGCAGCAGTCTCCTCCCTCGACGTGGCCCCGCCCCTCCTCTCCTCGACTTCCTGTTCCGCCATCGCGAAGGGCCCTGACGCGCCCTCTCTGTCAGTGTCGTCTCTCAGCCGCCTGACCCAATCGGATTAGAAGAATCCAAAATCCGGTATTCCGATAAGAAGAGACCATAAAGAGTTTCCTTTTCTACTTCCTTATTTCAGCATCC